TACTTCAACAGTTCCTAGAGAGAAACAGAGGCTACTGATAAGCGGCTTTCGGCCTTTGACTCGACTCGTGTCCTCCCCCATCTGCGACCTGTCCTGCCCCCTGGGGCTGCTGGGACTACCCTTCCCCTTTACACAGTGGTTTTTGCTCACAAGCTTTTCTACAACAGTGGACAATAAAGTGCCTGTGTCCTGAAAAAAAAAAAAATAAATAAATCATGTTAACATAAACATTTTGTGATAATTATATTTTTCAAAAGTATTTAGTGAGAAAGTTGAAAAATATAATTATAATAAAATGTTTATATTAACATGTGGTTTATTATTTTTAATGAACTAAATAAGTTTTTCATTTTTACACATTTCTTTAATGCCTGGACTATAAGATAGCTGCATCTCTGCTTCTACATTTACTCTGTTAAATTAAAAGGTATGGGTCTATCTTGTTCTTTGAATGAGTCTCTTATCTGTGGCACCTGTTTTGTAACATCATTCATTAATTATTTGGAAAATATTGCTTCATTTAGTTATGCAGATACTCCTGACTTCGGTGCATTTTTAAAATAAAATATCCAAGAAATAATATTTGTTAATATCACCACTGATTCCATCAGAAAAGTCTTTTTAAGTATTGGAAATGTCAGGCTCACTGTGGCTGATACAAGCTTTCTGAAAGTCTAATTTTTACTTGTAAGCTAGAATTGTGTCATTGATGAATACAGCCAGTTTTTCTTAAAGTGACAGATTAATTTTTTAGTTTGCTGAGATCATCATAGTCTGAATCATCATAGTTTATCTATCTGTTAATCACTATAGTTTATCAATCCATTGATCTTTCTTTTCTTTCTTTCTTTCTTTCTTTTTTTTTTTTTTTTGAGTTGGAGTCTCACTCCATTGCCCAGGCTGGAGTAATCTGTTGATCTTTCAAGTAAAAATTGAATGCCAATGGAAAAAATAGCTAGTTTGACCTGTTATTAAAACTATCAAGTGCATGCTTTTCTTCAAAACAATCTATTTGCTGTGCAGCAGTAGCCTGTTTCATCACATGGAATATTAAAAAGGTGTGCTCAGAGGCTGATACTTAATAAAACTAATAATACTTACTGATCATCATAGGCATTCTTTTTTAAAAATTTTTTGTATTTTAAAGATGTGGGGTACAATCAGGGTTAGGTATACAAATGTTCATTATGCAGGTACCCTTGTTGATGAGGTGTGCTCTCCCCTCCTGGCAGATTCCCACCACGGCCAATCCCATGGTTCCCCCCGCCCCCCAGCAGTTTCCCACTATTGCATCATAGGCATTCTTAAATGAATCTGGCACTATTTTTCCTGCAATTCAGACAATGAAGAAAGCAGTGACTATGTGCGGTTTGTTGCCACTGTTTTGATTCAAGCTAGGGCACCAGCAATTTTACTCACCATTGCTATTTAATATTAACATGATTTTCCAGGATAAGTCATGAGATTAAAAAAAGTTGAATATCTTAGCACCACACTGGTGTTTGTTACCAAGAATTTACATAAAAGAGGATCTTCTTTAGTTATTATTAGGTGTTGATATTAGATGAATACAAATAAAACACTAAGTCCAGATATGTAAATTAAAAGTCTTTTTTTTTTTGAGTTGGAGTCTCACTTTGTTGCCCAGACTGGAGTGCAGTGGCACGCTCCCAGCCACCACAGCCTCGACCTGCTGGGCTCCGGTGATCCTTACGCCTCAGCCTTCCAAGTAGCCGGAACTATAGGCACTTGCTACCACATCCGGCTAATTTTTTATTTATTTAGAGATGAGGTCTCACCAAGTTGCCCAGGTAGATCTTGAACCCTCAGGCTCTGGCAATCCACTCGCCTTGGCCTCCCAAAGTGCTGGGATTATAGGCTGAGCCACCGCGCCCAGCTGATTAAAAGCCATTTGTAAGACAAGTATAATTCAGTTTTCCTGTTTGCAATCTGGTCTTCCTGTTTGCAGCTTAATCTGTAATTCAAATTATTATTGTATTTGAAAATTGTACTTCTGTGATTTCTTTTATTGATTTTTCATCCAGCAGGCATTTATGAATGTCACATATACAGGTCTCTCAACTATTGTGTGCACTTTTCCAGTCAGTGTTTTCCTGCAAGATGATTCAATGTCCTTTTTATTTCTAGTTTCCAATAGTTGTAATAGAACAACTTTGGCCTTTAAAGAGCTCATTATGTCTTTTTAAAATATGTAATTCTTTTTTCTTAAAACTCTGAATGATTAGTCTCCAATCATTGCAGCTTCTATTTGAGAAAATTCTATTGGATAAGACATAATAGGGCAAATTATAAACATCTACAAAGCCAAGGAAAAGTAACTTTTGTCATATGTTTCTTTTTTTGAGTTGGAGTCTCACTCTGTTGTCTAGGCAGGCATGCAGTAGCACACTTACGGCCACCCCAGTGTCGAACTGCTGGGTTCAGGGGAATCCTTCCACCTCAGCCTTTGAAGTAGCTAGAACTACAGGCACATGCTACCATGCCCAGCTAATTTTTAAATTTATTTATTGTAGAGACAGGGTCTCGCCAAGTTGCTTGGGCTGGTTTCGAACCTGTGGGCTTAGGCAATCCACTCATCTTGGTCTCCCAAAGTGCTGGGATTACAGGCTGAGCCATTGAGCCTGGTCCATATGTTTATTTCTTGTTGCCTGGTTTGGAATAGATTTCTTCCTTCTATGAATCAGAGAACTCTGTTATGTCAGTTTATATTTTTCAGCATCTTTTGATGCTGGGATTACAGGCTGAGCCATTGAGCCTGGTCCATATGTTTATTTCTTGTTGCCTGGTTTGGAATAGATTTCTTCCTTCTATGAATCAGAGAACTCTGTTATGTCAGTTTATATTTTTCAGCATCTTTTGATGTAGACAGTACAATTTTGGACTGAGAATAAAAGTTTTCTATTCTTCTTTTTAAAAATCAGCATCTAAGCTGGGCATGGTGACTCATGCCTGTAATCCCCGCACTTTGGGAGGCAGAGGCAAGAAGACTGACTGAACCCCAGAGGTTTGAGACCATCCTGGGCAACTTGGTGAGACTTTGTCTCTACAATAAATTTTAAAAATTAGCTGGGCATGGTGGTATGTGCCTATAGTTCCAGCTACTTGTAAGGATCGCCTGAGCTCAGCAAGTCAAGGCTTTGGTGGCCCTGATCATGCAACTGCACTCCGGCTGGGGTGACAGTAAGACTCTGACTAAAAAAATCAAAAAATAAAAAACAAAACCCAACATCCAAAAATAATCAGATTCATAGAAGCAGAGAGAATGGTGGTTGTCAGGGGCTAGAAGGGGGTAATAGGGAGATGTTGAATGTTGGTCGGGGGTATAAAGTTTCAGTTACGCAAGATGGGTAAGTTCTGGAGACCTGGTGTACTTACACATTGTGAATATAGTTGACAGTACTATATTGTGTACTTGAAATTTGATTTTATACTTATTGAACTTTGGTAAAACTTTTAAGTAATGAAAGTAGTCTCAAAAAAGCCAGACTGGGCATGGTGTCTTATGCCTGTAATTTTCTTATGGGTTAAAGTACAAGTTGGAAGAGTATCTCTACTCTGCAAAACATCATGTGACAGACATGACACCAAATCTACATTACCATCAGCTTTGTTGAGGAAGAGGGAAAATAAGTGATATAGGACTCGGGACACCTAATTTTTTTTTTTTTTTTTTTTTTTAATCAGAGTCTTACTCTGTCATCTAGGCTGGAGTGTAGTGGCATGCTTGTGGCCACCACAGCCGCGAACTTCTGGGCTCAGGTGATCCTTCTGCCTCAGCCTTCCAAGTAGCTGGAACTACAGGTATGTGCCACCACACCTGGCTAATTTATTTATTAATTTATTGTAGAGATGAGGTCTCACCATGTTGTCCAGGATGGTATCAAACCCCTGGGCTCAGGTAGTCCTCTTGTCTCTGCCTCCCAAAGTGTTAAATTACAGGCATGAGCTACTATGTCTGGCCAAGGCTACCAGACTCTTAAGGGAAATTCTCAGAAGCTATTGCATAATTCTTTTGTATTTCTTTAGGCAGAACCCAGTTACATGGCATATCCATGTAACTGCAAAAGAGCTTGAGAAATGCAGGGTTTATATTGGGTGACTATATTCTCAACTAAAAGTCATGGACTCAATTGATATTAAAAAAAAGAGGAATAACAGATATTTGAAAATAACTAATAGCCTGATACCCAAGCCTTTGTTCTAGTAGACAATGTTAAACATACAAACTCTTGTAGATTCTCATTCAGTTGATCTCATTCTAAGATTCTGATTCTAAGATTCCTTCTCTTAGATTCTGCTTGAGTTGACTTATATTGTTTTCTAAACTTTCATAATTGCAACAAAATCCCAAGGTGATTGAGAGGCAGATCAAAATTTCAGCACCTACATTGTTTTCTAAACCTTCATAATTGCAACAAACTCCCAAGGTTTTGTTGAGAGGCAGATCAAAATTTCAGCACCAGCTGGGCTTGGTGGCTCAGCCTGTAATCCCACGCCTTTGGGAGGCTGAGGTGAGTGGATTGCCTGAGTCTGCGGGTTCGAGACCCACCTGGGCAACTTGGCGAGACCTCATCTCTACAATAAATAAAAAATTAGCTGGGTGTGGTAGCGTGCGCCTGTAGTTCCAGCTACTTGGAAGGCTGAGGCGGAAGGATCACCGGAGCCCAGCAGGTCGAGGCTGTGGTGGCCGGGAGCAGCCACTGTACTCCAGTCTGGGTGACAGAGTGAGACTCCAACTCAAAAAAAAAAAAAAAAAAAAAATTTCAGCACCATTGAATTGACTTACTTCCTTAATTAATTCCTTCCACTTTCTCTCAGGAACTCTAATTTCCTTGTTCTCTCCTTAACTCATTTTAAGTGCTCTCCAAGCCTTTTATTTCTCATATGAATTATTTTCAGTTATCTCTCATTGCTACCATAGATATTTTACTTCTCCTATAACACAAACTAGGAATTAAAATATACTTCTTATCTTTCAGACTTGGCATCCAGAGATGAGCCCAGGAAGCTATCTCCAAAAAGGGATATTTATGAAACAGAATCTTCCCAATGGGTTAGCATGGAACTATTTAAAACCCATAGTCCTGAAAGATCGATTTTCAGAGATATTTGGGAATGCAAATGTCATTTTGAGCAACAACAGGAACAACAGGAGTGCTATTTCAGGCAATTTATGATCAACCATGAAAACACACCCATTTTTAGACAACATACTTTACTTACGCAAGCATTTTATCATAGAGAGAAAATCTCTGAATGTAAAAAATTTACAAGAAACTTCAGTTACCATTTGTTCTTTAGTCACCACAAAAGAACTTATTCTAAAAAACTTTCTGAATGTAAGAAATACACAGAAATTGTTAATGCACCATTCCTTATTAAACAACAGAGAATTCAAAATGGTGACAATTGCAATGAATGTAAGGAATGTTGGAAAGCCTTTATTCAGTACTCACAACTTAAACAAGATCTGCGAATTCATAACAGTGAAAAACGCTATGGATGTAAAGAATGTGGGAAGGCCTTTAATTATGGCTCAGAACTTACTCTGCATCAGAGAATTCACACTGGTGAGAAACCTTATGAATGTAAGGAATGTGGGAAGGCCTTTAGACAACGATCACAACTTACTCAACATCAGAGACTTCATACTGGTGAAAAACCCTATGAATGTAAGCAATGTGGGAAAGCTTTTATTCGTGGCTTTCAACTTACTGAACATCTGCGACTCCATACTGGTGAGAAACCTTATGAATGTAAAGAATGTGGAAAGACTTTTAGGCATCGCTCACATCTTACCATACATCAGAGAATTCATACAGGTGAGAAACCATACGAATGTAGGGAATGTGGAAAGGCCTTTAGCTATCACTCAAGCTTCTCTCACCATCAGAAAATTCATTCTGGTAAGAAACCTTACGAATGTAATGAATGTGGGAAAGCCTTTTGTGATGGCTTGCAACTTACCCTACACCAGAGGATTCATACAGGGGAGAAACCCTATGAGTGTAAGGAATGTGGGAAGACTTTCAGACAGTGTTCACACCTCAGAAGACATCAGAGAATTCATACTGGTGAGAAACCTCATGAATGTATCATTTGTGGTAAGGCCTTTAGACTTCATTCACACCTCACTCAACATCAGAGAATTCATACTGGCGAGAAGCCCTATGAATGTAAGGAATGTGGGAAAGCCTTTAGCTATCATTCAAGCTTCTCACATCATCAGAGGACTCATTCTGGAAAGAAACCTGATGAATTTGAGAAAGTCTTTAATCGTGGCTTACAACTTAATCTACATCAGGCACTTCATACTCGTGAGGAGCCAATAAGGTTTCCTCTTTTTCCTCCGTCCTAGTCTAGCATCATGAAGTTGTTTTTGGAGATATATATTTTCTTTGTTTTCTTTAAGTAAAAAGTTGATAAAATGCTGTTTCATTAGTATTGATTTATTTCGGTAATCATTTAAAATCAAATGTTCTTTTTCAAGGGGAAATGAAAAAGTAAAGAGTTAAATCTGCTCTGATTTTAATGTTGTTTCTGAATTATTGCGTTAGCCACTATTAAATTTTCTAAAATAATATGTTTTCACTGAAACCAGTAAAGTATAACAGAATAATTTCGTTCCTTCCCACCAATCCCTGAGATAGGTAGTATATGTGTATTGCTTCTTTTTTTCTGTTCAAATATACTGCCAACAGAATGGGTTTGTTGTATGTGTGGAAGAAGTTTTACCCCCTATAGTGACATTTCACAGCAACTTGCCATTTTCACTTTAAATAAATAGTCAAGAACACTATTTCAATTCAGTACATGAAGATGTGACTCATTCTTTTTAATGTTTCAGGAATTTTCTGGAAAGGGATTTATGTCAGTATTTTGAACCATTCCCTATAGTAGACATTCAAGTTGTTTCTAATCTTCATTCAGAACTGCATGTAGTAAATATTCTTACATTCCTTTGTTTTTATTGATAGATTCCCAACAATAGGATTAAAATATCAGGTGTGTGTGTGTTGATGATAGATTAATCTTAAAAAATGTTTTTAAATTTACCAAAAAAGTAATGTGAAAATTAACTCTCTCCTGATATTCTATCTTATAGCCACTTACTTTCTCTCCACAGGTACAGTTGCTACTATCAGTTTCTTTTGTGTTTTTCCAGGTACATTTCCTAAATTCTTTGAGTGAAAATGGATTAATAATATTTGATTTATTACACATCCTCATCATTGGTTCACATTTGGTCCACTTTCATTTGTTAATATATTGTAGGAATTAACATACTGTGCCAATTATCAAGTTACTGTCTCTTAACCTCAAATCCTTCATTGTGTGCTCTGCAGTATTGGACCTGGGCTCTGTAAATGTTCCTCCTTTGCTAGCTGGCATGATGTTAAGCTTTGTCATTAGAATGCTAAAGGGACACAAAAGGAGAAGTTTTTTGGGTTTTTTTCCCTTTTCCTAGTTTTGTTTCACACTTGGCAGACTCTTGTAGTAAAGGCAGTATTATCGGCATCTGGCTCCTGTGGTGTGAAACATCTATCAGCACTAGCCTCCACAAACTTGACCTAACATGCACTTGGGAGGCTTCACAGCATAGATAAGGTGTTGTGGCATGTCTCTGAAGATGGCTTCCCCCAGCCACCCAAGCAAATCCTACATCTCTGCCATTCATTGAGCCATGTCTAGGCCTTTCCAAGAAGGCCTGGTTCTTGGCCCTGTGAGGGAGTGGGATATTCTCTATCTCAATCCATAACTTTCCCTTCCCAGGGTCAGCACTGCTTTTGTATTCCAGGAATAACCCAGGTAAAACTTCAAAATATTTTGGATAAAAGCAACCAATGGCTTCATTAGCACTGATTATATGATAGATTCATTTATGTTCATACTTCAAATATTTATTTTTTACTTCTCGAACCCAAGAAATCACGTCTTTCATTGGTTCTAGAGAATCCTCTGCTGTTCCCACTTACAGTGTTCCTCTTCCTCCTTCTCTGCCTCATTCTCCACCTCTTCTCCTCCCCCTTTATATCTGCTTGATTCTATGTTGACCTTTTGTTATTGTCTTCCTGAAAGGTCTTTGTTATCTGTCCTGCAGTACTGTCAGCAGCAGAAAGTACTTGTGTGTACATTTTAGAACTTTATATATTTTGTATCATGCTATGCAGTCCAAAATTTGTTTCATTCAGTCAATAAGTTCTTGAGATTTAGTCTTTTTAGCAATTTATTCAGTTAAATAGGGAGTAGGGTGAGGAGGGATGTATGCATGTCTATAAAAGGGCAATATGAGGAATCCTTGTGCTGGAAATGTTCTGTGTCTTGACTCTTTTTATAAGTGTCAGTATTGTGCTTGTGATGTATAGTACTGCAAGATATTACTATTGGGGAAAACTGGGTAAAGAGTACATGGGATCTTTTTGTATTATTATTACAACTGCATGTACTTTTAATTTATCTCAAAAAGCTTACTGTTTAAAGATCCTATTTCAGACAAATATATAGATCTGAGTCATCAATCAATTTATTGTTAGGTAGATCAGGGGACTTTATTAGGCTGTCATATATTTAAAAATGACTTATTCATAGGCAATTTTAATAATTTTCTTTCATACGGGTTTTAATTTTTCAAACTTGATGGCCTTACCAGAAAATTGGAATTCTTTAAGTTTTTCATGACTACTAGCATCTTTATGCTGTCATTATGACTTTTTTTTTTTTTTTTTTGAGTTGGAGTCTCACTCTGTCGCCCAGACTGGAGTGCAGTGGCCGCTCCCAGCCACCGCAGCCTCAACCTGCTGCGCTCCGGCGATCCTTCGGCCTCAGCCTTCCAAGTAGCTGGAATTACAGGCATGCGCTACCACGCCCGGCTGATTTTTTGATTTATTGTAGAGATGAGCTCTCGCTGCCCAGGCGGGTCTCAAACCCGCAGGCTCAGGCAATCCACTCACCTCAGCCTCCCAAAGGCACGGGATTATAGGTTGAGCCACCGAGCCCGGCTGTTTTTTTTTTTTTGGAGTTGAGTTCACACTCTGTCACCCAGGCTGGAGAGCAGTGACATGATCACAACAATCATGGCTCAAAGCAGCCTTGACCTCCTGGGTTCAGGTGATCCTTCCACTTTAGCATCCCAAGTAGCTAGGACTACAGGAGCACATCACCACCCCCAGCTATTTTTTTTGAAAGAGATCAGGTTTAATTATGCTGCATAGGGTGGTCTTAAACTCCTGGGGTCAAGTGCTTCTCCCATCTCAGGCTCCCAAAGTGCTGGGATTACAGGCATGAACCACCACACCTGGCCATTATGACATATATACAATCTATATACAATATTTTAATTCATATTTGATTATGCTTAGTAGCTTCCTATTAAAAATTTTAAAATTTCATTTCCTAGGAGTTAAGAGGTTAAAACTATATACTTAGCTGCCATGTTGGGATATCTGATTTATCACTTTGGAAAACATTAACACTCCATATTCTTGATTGTTATGTGTAACCAGCAGTGCAAATCAGTTCCTCCTGATATAGTATATGCCTTATTTGTTTTTACTTGACTAACAAAGATTTTCTATGTTTATACTTCCTGGTTTACAGATACTAAAATAACTATCTGTTATTAAAAAGGTAAAATATCAGTGACAAAAATTAGCCTAACCTTTGTGGAAATCAACTATAAAACAAACATACACTATATTCATTCTTTGAATACAACTATTTCTTAACAACTTTATGTTTTGAACATGACTATGAACACATACTCAACTTTTCTCAAGCTGTTAAATATATTATTATTTGGTGTGGATAGAAATTAACAGTCACTGGATGACTATCATGCATTCCAATAGGCAAAATGTTAGAACAAGGAATTACCTTCATGGCTTCTTTTTTCCTTGTCACATCACAATATTCATCATCCATCCTTGCGGGGGGCCAGCCCCTGCAAGTTTTGGGGAGTCCCTTGGAAGATGTGGTGGCGTCGGCAAATCTGTAGGGACAGATATTAAAAGAAAGAAAGATGGAAGGATAGATATAAAGAAGAAGAAAGAGAAAGAAAGAAAGTGGACAACCATTCAGTGAAATGAGCAGAAGCCGTTTATTGAAAGTTACAGCAGGTATTTATCCCCAAATTTTACACAGACAGTCTCACAAGTCTTTCACGTGAACACAAGGCCAGGTGCAGGAGGGGCGTCCCCCACCCACCAGATGTTTTCTCAGGTATGAGGAAGGACAAGCCCCAAGATTGTCTTATTGTTCCCTTTGCTAGTTAATGCTCTTCAAAAGCAGTGCAACAATACCTACTAGCCTAATGATGTTCTGATAATCAATAACTTCTAAAGCTCACTCAACACCCATGATGACTAACTTAAACTTTATTACCTTTCTATTCTATGCTAATACTACTTACACAATGCTACGGAAGCTCTTAATTATAGCTTAAACCAATTCCTAAAGAATGTGGCCCAGTCCAAAGATCACACTGGGCTCTATAGGCTGTGGCCCAGTCCAAGGTTCATGGTGGGCCACTTTTTGGAACAATAGACGACAATCTCTTAACAAAATGGCTATTCTAAAGTCCTATATATGTATCCTAATTCCTATGAAAGTTTCTAATTCCTGATCCTAATATATAAAGCTGATCATCAGCAACAAAGCTTCTAAAAATAAAACCCAAATATAAACTGTAAATGTACTAAGGCCAAAACCACAATAGTAGAAAACGGAGACAATGAAATTTCTAAAGTTAACTGTATTCTTTTTAAACCTCAAAATATCATGTTTGATCATGCTTGAACTAACATAATTCCCTGACGTTAGTATGACCTATTCTACAATACTTTCTATGAATAAAATAAATTCAACTTCCATAATAAGTAGAAAACCCTACACTAATTGTAGCTAAAAACCAGTTTAAAAGAATGCAGCCCAGTCCAAAGTACACGCTGGGCCCTTAGGAATATGGCCCGGTCCGAAGTTCATGCTGGGCCATTTCTGGTAACTCTAGATAATCATCTATACCATCTAAAGCTGAAAACAGCTTTCCATGCTTTCCATATGTATATACTAAGTCTACAAATATACTTTCAAATCTTATAAAGAAGCTTGTACCAAATAGAAGGTTCCCAAATGTGACCTCAGTTTGAATTATATCTAATACCTAAGCCAAAACCGCAGTTCATGGGAAATAGGAACAATGAGTTTCTAGAGTTAGCCATGCCTGTCACAGTCACAGAGCCTTCAGCTTAGGTCAGCAGAGTTCCTTCTGGCTAAATAGAAAAAGGGAGGAGGGAATGGGGTCAACAGCTCCCAAATGCATCCTAGTGGTCTCGGGGTCCATGGCCCACCTTGATCCCTAAAGTTCAGGTGGGCCTCCATGGCCGGCTCCCAACATCTCCCCCTTTTTAATTTTTTTTGGCACAAAACCATGAAACTCAGTGTTAAGCTGAGAATTACTTCTCTTCAGCACACTGCAAAGTTCCTTCTAATGGGATATGCTAAATACCAAAAATGGGAAGAGGA